CAGTTTTATTTAAGAAAGGACTTGTGTCACTAAAGTTTCAGCGGAACGAATTTACAGAAAATTAACTAACGAACGGAGACGTAACAATATGTTTTTCTGGTTGTTTGTGTTATGTATAGATAAATGGTGAAGCTGTAGAAAACTTGTACACAGTGTGTGCCAAAGGATTTGGATGATGGACAGATAATTTCCTTAGAAATGAAGTGTTTTTATACACAAAAACTTGTATAAGATTATATAAACAATTCTGAATTCCAATGAATGACAGATCTTGTCAAATAGTGTTATCTACTAGAAGTTGAGATGATAATTTTCTAGTTTACATGAAAATCACTATTGTTAACACACCATTACTTCTTGAAAACAAGAACATTTTCTACTGCTGTATCCCCCCCTCCCATATAATGAAATTTTCTTTGTTCTCCAACAGAAATAGTTTAAAAAGTATAGACCTGATTTATAAAGCTCCAACACCTTTATGTGGCATGGTAAACTAAGGATATCTAGAAAAGTAATTTTTATATATTAATGTGTATGAGTATGGTTTTTATGGTATGTATTTCCAAGTTATTATATTTAAAATATACTTTTTTTTATATTTATTCTGAAGTAAGGTGTGTCTTCTGATCCTGGTAATTATCAGAAATTGAAAGGTTAGGAGTTTGTGCTCCAAAGAATTATGGCAATTCAGTAACCCTTATTCACAGTATAATAATGCTTGGAGATGGCTTGAATGGTACCTGTTGATGACAAAACCTTGTCGAAACGTTGTACATTTGCTGTTATGTTAAACTTAAATTAACATTTTTCTTCATTACCCATTTAAGCCGTCTCCTAGGATTATTAGTCTCAAAGTCGGTTCCTCGTCATCGAATTTGAATTTATTCACAGTATGTGTACAAATTGAACTCATGGTTATTTTCTCAGATGGTAGTGAAAAGCATAATAATTCAAGAAAACAATTATGAATTCAAGGGAAATAAATTTAAAAAATATTTTAAGGTCAGCACTGTGTTTACGATTAAGAAATTATATTATACTAAGTATCAGATTTTTGAACAAAAGTGCTAGCAAAATATAATGATCTATGAACATTAAAAACCTGAAAAGGCTTTGTTGATAAAACAAAATGTGAAATTAAATGGATACAAAGCTCATCTAGAATCGTGTCATTTAAATACAAGAGGGAACACAAAAGGCTAAAGAGAAAATAAAACAAAGAAACCAAACACCAACATTTTGGTTTACAGATGTTTGATAGATTAATATATTTTTTATATGTTTTGTAGAAGAAAGCTTGAGCTTTGTTATACATATACATTAGTCATACATTTTTTCTATTGTTTAGAAAAATGTAGTTCTTGTTTTCCATCAAATAATGAGCATCATGAAAGTGGCATTATATATGTAATTTCTGTGTTATTAACCAAACTTGCATTGATTTTGTATTTTCAATAATTATGGTTTCTTTATTTAATTTCTATATTTTATGGTGATTCAGGAATTATAATATTTGGATTACAGGTACTGTTAACCTCCTGAGACCAGGAGAAGATGAGTGAGTTCAAAGTTCATCATCATGTCAGTGAATTGATGAAGCATTTGGGGTAAGTGTAAACAACATCACAAGTTTAGCTTATTTTGTGAGGTGGTATAGCTTTATTATTTGTTAATTATTGTTAACACTAGGTAAGGGTACCCATTAAGAAAGCTAAAATTGTATAAGGTCAGTGTTAGATAATGTTCCCGATTCTTTTTTCTTTTGTTATTGAATCCTCAAAGACCCTATTAGATGCTAAATTCCTACCCAGCTTTGTGAAAGGTAATAATTGACTCATTTAATTGATTAAGTGCTTGTGTCTTTAAATTTAAAGCCAGAAGTCTATAAAAAAAGTGGAAATGTTCCTTATTTCAATGGCTTTTTTTTTATCCCCCTTCTTGGGCAAAAGTCCTAAAACAAAATAGCCCATCTACACTCTTGGACAGTTTCCAGTTACCATACAAAAAAAATTAAGATAGTCGAGCCGGCCAGCTCTGGACGATGTATGTTAACACACACATAATGGAACATCTTTAGAGTAGGTTGTAGGTCTGTATCACAGAAATGCAGAACATAGTTTGAAGATATATCAACATCTGTAAAAAGCAAAAAATAAATTCTGCTCTAGTAAACTTTTCTAATATTTGAATAGTGAACAGCTTTTTGTACTTTTATGGATGTTACCTAAATTAAAATGCGTAGGTATCTCAATCTATTGTATTTTAATTTTCTTGTGGTTTTAGAGTTTAGTATATGTAGATGCATCACGTGCATCATAATTGCTGGTTATGTTTCCTTATGAATTGTCAGTTGACCATTCTGGTGTTTGAATTGTTTTTTATCAAATTGGCTAACTAAGATTTGTGATCTGCTACCTCAATCAGTCTGAAACAAAACGTTTGTGACTAAATGTTTGAAAGGCTCTGTAGAGGAAGATTTGTTATTTTGATGTATAGTGGAGTTTGATTTGTTGATATCTGCTGATTCATGTTACTGTATTGTTTATATCTAAATATGTTAAAATTCCAGAAGTACTGTATGTAATGAAATATGTAAAATAATCTGAAATTATGAATGACAAATTATTTATGTTTCTGGATTAGATTCATAATAAAATATAATAGTGTTGACCTCTGTGCAAAGAGAGAGAGAGAGAGAGAAAAAAAGAAAGAGAGACAAAAAATATCCTGTATTTCAGCCATAGAACATATCATGGAGAACAGGGGACAATTTTGTCCTTCAAAGATGTCCCTGCACACCCACCCTTGAGAAAAAGTAAAAAACTTAAACCCACCTTTTATTTCAGAAATTATCCATTCTCCATTTAAATTGTTTTAAATTTCTGGCCTCCACTACTATTTTCAACAACAAATGCTCTCATTCCATAAGCCAATCATGCTGTTAGTAAAATAAAAGTTTCAAATACTTTTCAACACAAAAGTTTTGAAATTCCCAATAAGTTTAATCCTGACATGTCAGCTTTTAGAATCCTAAAGTGAGACAATGAATTGTTTGGCACATTTAAGTAATTTTTATCATTTACCTGGTAGGAGGGTAAAATATTATTACTAGTTGTTACTAAGCTTAAGTGTACATATTACGTGTATGAAGTCTTTCAAATAATTTCTAAATATGTGAAATAAGTAAGTTGGACAAAATTTTTTTGCCTATGTATACAACATCATACCAGCTCCAAGAGTTTTTTAGTCAGCTGGGACGTCCAACTTCTTTCCATGCTGCAGTAACTGAGCCTTATCTGTATCTGTATAATTAGTACATCCAGTGAAATAATTAACATGCTTGGTATTGTGATCAAAAATATGACTCAACTTAAATAATGACCAATTAAATTCTTTAATTGCTATTTGAGAAACTTTTCTGAATTCAGAAAATAATCAAGTAGTACAAAGAAGGCTGAAAAACTAGTAAGAATCACTCAGAAAATAATCAAGTAGTACAAAGAAGGCTGAAAAACTAGTAAGAATCACTCAGAAAATAATGAGTGTACTTATTTTTTGTTGTTGAAGTAGACATGAGATATTCCAATTTAAAACTGCGAGTGTATTTTTGTCATTTTAAATGAGAGGTAAAAGTCAAGAATCGGAAAAATCTTGTGTCATTGATAATACTGTATTATATTCCATTCATATGTTACATGCAGAGTTGCCCAGAGGTCTACTGATGGAGTATCAGCTGAATCCTATGCTGATCTGTTATTGAAGAACAGAACACCAAATGTAACCACTAAGGTAAAGTTGTAAATCTCCACATAAAGATTTTATATAAAGTAAGCAAATGTTGTACTTTTTTTTTTTTAGGTTTCCAAATGTTTATTTGGTGAAAATGAATCTAACATTCATTGTTCTCATTTGTGAAAACTGTAAATCTTATGAATAATGGTTTAAAACTGAGGTTGGTATTGTACTGTGGAATAACTCTTACTAACTTCTTCAAACTTTGTTTAGCTTTGCTGCTGTAAAAATCAGTGTGAATGACTTTTACGTATTAAATGCCTGCCTCTTCTGATTATTTTTTCATACATATTTTTTAAACCTGTTTATTATTATTATTATTAGAGGTTGAAGTAACAATTGGGAATTATTACTGGAAGATTCTACTGATTAAACTTCCTGATGTATTTGAGCTGTATGGAAACATTCATTAACAATGATTTACAATAAATTTGTTTCACCCACTCTTCACTCAGTGAATTAGAGTGATTTACTTTGCCATGATGACACAAGCTCATTAGTTATAGCTTTTTTTTCTTTTCTGTTTAAATATTAATTACTTCTGATGGAAAAGTACACATGTATGAATTCATGCAGAAATCCAACAATTTAATAATTTTCCATTTACTTCTTTGACTTTATGATAGCATGTTACAACACAATTAACCAGTAACTGACTGTTGGCAAGATAACAAGACACAGTTCAACTAAAAGTGACAGTATTTTCACTGAGAGATATTAGAAATGAAATATTTGCTTAATATACAAATACAAGTTATTTTTACATAGCAAACTTGTTTATGCTCCATATACCTTGTAACCTGTAATGTTGTAGAATAAAGGACAGCCATCATTAGATTTTATATGATAGCAATTACAGTTTGGCTTGGGAAGATAATTTGATACATAAGCCTCATAAAACCATTTGAGTTTTTAGTGAATTTTTTGTAAAGGACTCGTAAAGAAAAATTTATGGAATTAGTGTAAAAATAAGTCTGTTCCAATTTTACTAGATGAAGTACTGACCACAGTGTAAAAATAAGTCTGTTCCAATTTTACTAGATGAAGTACTGACCACAGTGTAAAAATAAGTCTGTTCCAACCTTACTAGATGAAGTACTGACCACAGTGTAAAAATAAGTCTGTTCCAACCTTACTAGATGAAGTACTGACCACAGTGTAAAAATAAGTCTGTTCCAATTTTACTAGATGAAGTACTGACCACAGTGTAAAAATAAGTCTGTTCCAACCTTACTAGATGAAGTACTGACCACAGTGTAAAAATAAGTCTCTTCTAACTTTAGTTGATGAAGTACTTAACTTGGTGTAAAAATAAGTCTGTTACAATCTAAGTAGGTATAACTTGTTATTTACCATATGATTTTGTTAATTCCCAAAGTTAAGCCTCTTTCAACTTTTAAATGTATTTTTGTTAGTAGTTGTTTATGTAAGTTTGTTTGCACACATGATCTGGTGGTTAGGGAACTTGACTCTTAACCTGAGTCTACTGTATTGAAAAACTATCACTAAAAGTGTTCACTCTTTCAGCCATGGGGGTGTTATAATATGATGGCAATCCCAATATTGATTGGTAAAGAGTAGCCCAAGAATTGATGATAGTTAGTGTTGACCAGCTGCCTTTCCTCTAGTCTATAATTTCAAAATTTGGGATGGCTAGCACATGTAGCTCTATTACATTAACTTGTGCTTATACTTGTCTGTAGTGTGATGCCTGATATACAGCTCATTGGTAGAACATTCTTATTCCTGCTTAATCCTACCAATAGTTGCTAGGTCAGTATAACAAGATCAAATTTCTAAACTGAGATGGCCATGAAGTTTACCCTTCCATATTTAGTATAGAATATATCTTTATTCAGTTATATTCCAATAATATTTCTCTAAATGTCCCTGCAGTTTATGTATGTAGTTATGACATTCTCATTGATTGGGTGTCTGAAAAACATGTGCTAATCTTTTTACACAGGTAAAGACTATATGCTGCAATCTTTGTTCTTATTTCTCTATGGAATTCTTGGAAAATAGTCTATTTAAACAGGCAATATTGAAGTATTACAAGCTAGTTTGGGTAGCTAAAAATAGTTTGTGGACCATTGGTTGAAGTATGTAACCAGTAGGATTGTGAGATACCTGATGTTCTTTGTTTCACTTGGGTTGTTTAAGCCTGATATTTTCATAAATATAAAAAAATAAGTATGTGATTTTCTTATCTACTATATAAGAAAATTTCAGATTTTTATAGGTAAAGGTAATAAGGAAGTTATAAATTAGATTAGATGTGTGACAGTATATTATATAGAAAATTACTGTCGTTTAGATAATTTCCATATGGTACCTTGCCTCCTCTCATACATATTTAGCTATTCTCATTCAGTGCTGACCCCTATATGCAACACATTTTTTCACATGCCACAAGCCTTGGGCTCCCATGTACCCCACAATCAATATGGTTCAACTGCATCTTGCATGTAAATCATCATGCAACAACCCTCCACCAATAGGAGTGTGACACACTCTCCTGATGCATATGATCTCCTCTATTCGATTCTTCCAGTTTGTCACTTCTCGTTTTGCAGTGCTTGTGTCAAGATGTTTTTCATTGTGCTCTTCAATCATGTTTTTTTTTAATTTAATGAGTTTAAAAAAAATTTCTTAAATGTAGATTAAACTGTTTTGTAATTTATTCCGAAATGGAATTTTTATTCTCATTTTTCAAATGTGTGCAAACATAAGGGTAATTTTTTCTAGCTTTATTTCTTTATGCTAACACTGTTGTGTTTGGTTATTCCTCTTTAATGGTGAATTCCGATGTCCAAGTTACCACTTCAGAGGTCATACCATCTACCAGCATACTTATACAGGTTGCAGGTTGTGGGAACTCAACTATGGAATTATTGGCTCTCATTTGACAAGAAATTGATCGTTAAATGAGTCAACCTTTTCCTGATGTTCTCCATTTTCCTCCTGAACATGCTGAACTTGTTTGGGAAAATGAGGAATTTGACAGCCTTTTTTCTCCACCTGATTTTGCTGTATCTTCCTATACCCCTACTGCAGAATCAGCTAGGCCTAATATGGCTTTTGTGGACGTGTTTCTCAGGTGTGTTCTGTTTTATCAATTTCTCTTATTTCTTATAATCCTATTCCTTGCTTTTTACATGATACCCTCTCCTCTCAATATTCATGTTTCCCCCTTCCACAGATATTATGGTTCATGCAGAGCGTTGTGTATCTCAGATGCATGAGGGCACTAGCATGCCTTGCCCTTCACAGGCTTCGAATCAGTTTGCTTTAGCTTACTATCAGGCTGAATTTCTGTTTCTTGATTCTCAACAGTTGGAATTGCTTTTGTTTGTGTGGGGGCAGACCCTGGTCATCCAGTTTGTTTATACCATGCCCAGTTTTCCCACCTAAATCTTATCCTGTCGATTCTCCTACAGTACTTGTCCACCATCCATCTCCTTTCTGAGGCACTCCACCCAGATCATGAGGGTTTTTGAAGGATACTCTCAACCTGCTTATCTCCATGTTTGCACGTTTGTTTTTTTTCTTTGGCCCTTTCTTTATACATGTGGTTTCTCTATTGTTGGGATTTTCTGCTGTACTGTGCCAAGTTTGTTAACCCTTTTCTCCAAGTCTGTTTTTAGAGATATTTCTTAGACTTTAGAGTCCTGTGTGGAATCTATGAGACAGCACTCGACCCTTTCATTTTGGTTGATCATTTGTCTCATTCTGAGCCTAGAAAATCCCCTATTACTATTGTATATCCTGCTCCTTTCCAGCCTTTACCAGTTCCTACCTCTAGGGATTCTTCCACTCGTCATATTATTCAATGAAGATGGACATGTTCTCAACAGTACGGTGACTACCCTCTGTGTTCCAGGGGCTCATTTGACCAGTTTTGCTCCCATATGGCATGATTTCACCACAGATATTTGGGTATTATCTGAGGGTCTTGTTATTCACTACCTTTCCCCTCCTCCGTTATCTTGGTGACCTATATCTCTTCCAGTGTCTCAGGATCCTACCACCAGTCAAAGTCTGTCCAAGGTAGTACAGAATTTTCTCTCTCAGAAAGCCATCAAACCTGTACCTCATACTTCTCCAGGTTTTTATATCAAGCTGTTCGTGGTACCCAAGAAAACTGAGGACTGGTGGCCTGTGATTGATCTGTTCTGCGCCAATCAATTTTTGGTTCTGCCATGGAGTCTTTTCTCACCCTCAGGTGGGTTTTTCTCCAGGTCTATGAATGACCAAGGTAGACATCTTGAATGCTTATCTGCATATTCATGTGTCATGTTGATTGAGGTGCTATCTTCAGTTTGTATATCATAGGGTAGTATATCAGTTTCGTGCCCTACACTTTGGGCTTGCTTCTGTCATGTATATGCATTTTCAAGGGATGCGTTTACACCATTACATGGACGACTGGTTTCTGTTAGCTCATTCAGAATGGGAGTTTGCCTATCACACTCATCTTCTTTTGGAGGTAGCTCATGTGGGTTGGTTAATCAAGTTGGAGAGACCATTCTTTATACATACCCAATATCTTGTCCACTTGGGTGTCTTTTTACACACTCATCTCAGTCAGGCCCAACCTTCTCTTTTTCGACTCCATTTGTTAGAGCTTTCAGTTCTCCATGCCGTTACTCTCCCTCTATTACTGCTTGCGAGGTTGAGGATGTGGTCTTCTATGGAAACACTTTTCTCTTTGGGTCGAGTGCATATGCAGTGTCTTCAATAGACTCTGCACGACTAATGGAACGTTGCGTGGGATCCCTTGGATGCTCCTCTTTACCTTCCTCCTCCCCTTGTTGACAATTTGCGTTGGTGGTTGGGCAAGGCACACAAGTCGGCATGTGTTCCGCTTCTTTCCCCTCATCCGGATTTGCATATCTTCACGGATGCTTCCCTCCATAGCTGGGAGCATGGGTTGATCAGCAGGAAGCTTCAGGTCACTGGTTTCCAGCCAAGAGATCTTACCATATCAACAACCTGGAGCTTCTGGCTGTACATTTTGCGTTGGAGCATTTTCTCCATCTTGCCAGGAATCAACTGGTCATGATCTATTCCAATAATTCTATGGTGGTAGCTCATACCAATCACTAAGGCAGCACTCTTTCTCATTCCCTTTGTGGTCGAACCTTGGATTTCCTTTAATAGGCCCACATGCTTGGTATTCGTCTCCTTGCCTGTCATGTTCTGGGTGTATTCAACCTTGTCATGGATCATCTTTCCCAACAGAGTGGTCTCTAAATCCTCAAGTTTTTCTCATCTGGATGAATTTGCCACATTCCTCAATACCAATTTACTTCTGTTTTTGTCTCTGGTTCTGCATCCATTTCCACTGGCTGTCAATGCATTCAGCCAGGATTAGACTAACAAATATCTTTATATGTATCTTCCCATCCTTCTCCTTCCCAGGGTGAGTTTGATCATCCACACCACTCTGTATCAAGTCCTTCTGATTGCTCCTTACTGGCCATCACAACTGTGGTTTTCATGGTTGCTCCTGCTCCAATTTGCCTCACCATTACCTCTTCTTCTTACTCTATCCCTTCTACATCAGCCTCGGTCACCAGCATTCATCCAGCCCATCATACCCTCTGTCTTCATGCCTGGTTTTTATCTGGTCCTTCGCGATGAGATCTGGGTTGTCATGGTGAGTTGCTTCATTTTTAGCATGTTCCATTTGGCCTTCCTCTATGGATGTTTATAAATGTAAGTGGAATGTTTTCCACCATTGGTCTTTGTGTCAGGTGTTTTCACTTGCTCAACCTCTTTTCTTCTTCTTATGGATTTCCTCACTTGGCTGTTTGATCAGTGGATTTCTGTCTTCTTGATCATGGGTTATCAGGCTTTCTTATCCTGCACTTTTCATTTTTTCCAGTACTGTAAAGTTTTTACCTCTCCTACCCTCTCACTATTATTGCATTCCTTCCAGATTAGTTTACCTCCTCGGCACGTGGTCAGATTGGGATGTCAGTGCGATTTTTTACTGCCTTACTTTACCTCCATTTGAACCTCTGCCCTCTTGTTCGATTTTTGACTTATTCATTAAGACTTATTTCCTTCTCCACTTGGCATGTGGACGTCATCGGTCAGATTTACTTGCCATCGATGTTTCATGTCCCTGTGTCATTCCACATTTGTTCCCCTTTATCTGGATTGATATTGCATTCCACAGACTTCAGGGGCTCATGAGGGTAATTCATACTTCTCGCTGATTTCCTTTCCTTCCATTTTCAACCTGTATTCCTGGTATGATCTGGATAGACTACTATGTCCCAGACGTGCTCTATGTTGTTATATTGCTCGCATGGCTTCATTCTGTGGCAACTATCCTCTGTTCATGTCCTTTCTCCTTCCACCCTTACTAGTTAGGTTCGGCTTTTAATTTGTTTGGATTATTCTTCCTTGTCTCCTTCTTAGTGTAATTTGTTCCATGTGTCTTCTCACCAGATTAGGTACCTCACCTTCTCCCTGGTGTTTCATCTCCATCTTCCATTGGAGAAAATTCTTCAATCAGGCATGTGGACCACAATGCATACATTCATCTCTCAGTATCTGCATCAGATAGCTGTTTCTTCCTTGTCAGAGTATCGTCTTCCATCTGTTGCCATTCTAGAGACTTCAGTGAGACTGTGAATGAGTAAGTTATCTTTTTGTATATATATATATATATATATATACCTGTTACCTTTCAGGGGCATGCCCCTTTTTTCTTTATGGATCCTGCTCTGTGGTGAGTTATACCTGTCCAGGTATACTTAAACTAGTCAAATCCACACTCTAAGGCCATGAGGAATTCACAATTATAATTTCCATGAATACTAAATGCACACTGTTGAGATGGGGTGTTCCACAAGATCGCTCGTAGGTTTTTTCCTCATTATATCTTTCCTTCATTAATGTGCCACTTCCGGACTGTACTAACCCATGGACTTAATTGGTAAAGCAGAAGGGGATAGCTGTTCATCCCTGCCATTTCTTAGATTGAATAAATCAAAAGTGATCTGCTTTTTAAAATAGGGTTTTTATGGCCACCCATTGCACTGTCTACGGTGTTGATGTTCCTCCAGACTCTTCATTTTGTTTTTTCTCCCTTTTTATTCCAGTGGAGTATGGGAGTCCTTACTACTTTCCAGTTCCAAGCCACTTAGGTGGTGGACCATGGAGACATCTTCCTGAATGTGATTGATATATATGATGCAAACAATACTGAATCCATTCAGTTGAGAGCAGGGCAGTGGTGTTCTGCTGGTGTAGATGATGAGATGTCCTCCTATCTGACGTTCCATCTCTGAATGGGTTTATAAGAGGAGATATTGCAGCTTTCAAGTGAACTGTCAATAAATTGCAGTTCACCCTTTCGATTGGGATCTCTCATCCTACTCCTACATAGATGTCAGTTCCCAGTGGCTGGGTTTTGGGTTCAGAGCTAGACCAGTCAGCAAAAGTTCTCACACATGTACTACAGATGTCTTTGTTCCCTTGCTCAATTAGACTCATGTTCACTGCTACCGTCATGGTGGATGAACATGCAGGTTCCTCTTGCACTATCTCTCAAAGATTTTCATATACCGAGGATGTTACTGCACTGAGGGTGGTTCCAGTGTGATTGGTTTTGAGTGAGATATTTCACAATTCAGGATCATCAGTCTTATTCCGATCGTCCGGATGTCAGGTTTTTAGATCGGTAAAACATTTGTTCACTTTGTTATCATGTACGGTGTTCACAGATCGGTGGGTATGACATCTCCCTCCAGTCTGCTGAACTTGTAATGAAGATAGTATGAACCTCTTTCGTACCCCCACCAGATGTCTTGGTTTTGGATTACAGTTGACTTGCCAATGGTATGATTCTCTTTCCTACCCCACATGGATGTTGGTTCCCGGTGGCCAGGTTTTGGATTGTAGTTAACTTACTGATGGCATGATCCTCATCCTACCCCAAGTGTACATCAGTTCCTGGTGGCTCAGTTTTGGATGCAGTCGACTTGCTGTGTATAGTCTGTCGCACTCTAGCCACTCTACACCTTGGGGCATATCCTTTTTACTCTCACCCACATTACTGTCTTCTAAGTGATTGGACTTCCAATATTGGATGGTTCGGATCCCTATCCAAATATTGTTCTCTCCTTTTTGTATGTGCTCATTCACAATTTCCATCCATGTTTGCTACACTTCTTTCCTCATTGGGCATAGAGTATACCTGCTAAAGAAGTAATGTGGTCTCCCACATAGGATCATCAACTGTGAGGTTTTTCACTTTTTGGGTATTCTTTGTATGCTTTTGAAGAATGTTTCTTTTTTTCCCTTGCACCAGTCCCTCCACCTATTCAATGTGAGATTCTAGCTATTTATGTAAGAGGAGGTAAGGTACTGTATTAAAAGTTATAATTTTCCTATGCTGAAAATGTATTTCCGATAGGTACTTACCTCTTCTCACCCTTCCAACCTTTCTTCCTCACTTAAAACCGGTGCTTCAATTTTCTGCCAAAATACAAAGTGATAGTTAAGTTGAATAGAATAGAGGGAGTCGCATGCATCAGGAGGGTGTGTCTCACTCGTATTGGTGGAGGGTTGTTACGTGATGATTTATATGCTAGACTCAGTTGAACCACATTGATTGTGGGGTACATGGGAGCTCAACACTTATGGCATGAAAACATGTTTCTGCATATAGAAGACAACACTGAATGAGAATAGCTATATATGTGAGAGGAAGTAAGTACCTATCAGAAATACATTTTCCATATAGGAAAATTATAACTTTTATCACATACTTATTAACTTTGATATTTCCAATGTATTAAAATTCTAGGTTACTAATTTTAACCTAAATTTATTATAGTGTGTAAGATCCTGTGGGATTTTGTAGTTTGAAATTTAAGTGGAATTTCTGATTTGTTCAAGGTATTTCCAAAATCTAGAGCCAGTCAAGCATCAAAAACAGTGTGCTTTCTTTTAAGATATAATTGTTAAACATTTACAATATGAAACCACTGTTTCAAATACATTTATATTTCAGTTTTGGTTGACCTAAATTTTTGGTAAATTGTATTATTATTGTAAAAATGCTAAGTCAAAATATTTTTTAACCAGTAAAGATTTTCATAATCAGATATCTTCCATGGCTGCCATGAGGAAATTGGCTGAAAAATCCAAAGATTCAGATGGTGTTCTTGAAAAATATGAAAACCTCAAAGCTAAAAAGTAAGTAAAAATGTGTATTTCAGAAAGATTTAATTTTTTTGAGTGACAGTTTTGAAATTGTACTGAAGATTGTTCTTTTAAAACATTGTGCAACAGGAATCAAGTAATTTCGACTATGAATTTTTTTAACTGAAAAGTCTGAATAAGGAATAAAAATGTTAAAGGAAGTATTTCAGTAGATTATGAAATAAATAGTATATTATAGATCTTGCCAAAAGCAATCAAAAGAAATGTTCATATTTCTCTGGATTTCCATCTTTTCTAATCCTCTAGATTATTTTTTACGTTCTGTTATGGGAAACTTGGAAACTCATTCTGTACCCATTTCTTACGTAATGGTAGATTGTTTATTGGAAAATTATTCACTCTATCACTAGGCCACTCTGTGTATTCATTTTATTTGCTCCTGCCACTGGCATTTCATGATCTGAAAACGTTAAGGTTGTTAGAACATGACTGACAGGTCAGTATAAAAGAAATTGACAAAGATATTAAGAACAGGTGGAATTGGAAGTCACTAGATACAGAAATAGACAAGAGTTTTGTTGGGAAGTATATTTGGAAGATGTATGGGTGTTGGAAAGGTATACTGCCTTTTCTGTGAGACTGACATAAAACAAGCTATAGATTATCACATCAAAACATAAAACAATGAGACTGAAAAGCTCAAAATCAGTGTCACAAACTCACTTAATGTATAAGTTTTTTGTTACAAGTTACAGCTTTTGCAGTACCTGTTTTAAAAAATATTTTCTTTTACTGTAAAAACTGTAACTTGTAATAAAAAAATGCTTATAATTAGTATGTAAACTCATTGCAAAACTATTAATATATACATTTCTTTGATTTTATGAGCTTATTTATTAATATTAAAGTATATGTACTGGCAACCTACTTTTAAGCATTGAGGCAAAGGATTTGATAAGCAACATGCCACCAAAGGACAAAATTGCAACAAACTTTAGTGAAAATATCCAAAGTGCTACTGGAAAATACTCGTTGAGGAAGATTCCAATTCATAACAACTTTTCAAAGCACCTTTCTGCCATTGTAATTATAGCAGTATTGGTCAGAAATATGTGTAATCCAACTACATGATTAAAAATTGTCTCGAAGGAGATGAGAAGGAATATGATTTGGAAGTAAGCAATTTCCACTTTATTGGTGAATAGACAATTTTCAGAGATGATCAGCATATTTATTTGTAGTTGTTTTAAGTTGGAAAACTTTCCACATTTGGCAAAGATGATCAAGGCTGCCTTTAGCTGCTGTCATGGTCCTATGGTGGAAGGCTCATTTAATATCATGGGTAGCATCATAAACTACAGGTCATGCAGGATGAACATTAAAATATACAGTGGCATTATAACTGTAAAGTATACATTGAGAAGTATAAAGAAATTGGCTGTTATGATATTCCAGAAGGCTGAAACCTACATGATCATGTGTTAATCTAATACTCTGTATAAACATGAGAACAGCCAACAAGTCCTTGAAACAGGAAGAAAAGACCACAGAAAGATCAATCCAAATACAGCTTCAGCATGAGGTCAAATTAAGACACCATCTGCAATCCTTGTGAACAGCCAGTTTGCCCAAGCAAAAAGCCAAAGAGGTGTACAAATCAGCAAAGAGAGGGTGCAAAGCTTATAGAGTCAACTGCTGAAAAAGGGACAGCAGCCAAAGTAAAGACTGTTCACCCTAAGTGACAAAAAATTTCAATGTTTATAATGTATAATAGTCAAAAATTAAATTTTAAAGTTGTGCAATTAACTTGCACATTAAAACCTGATAACAATGTCAATAGTTGCTTGTAAAGAATGCCAGTGTAATAATTTTATGAGAGGACAGAATGCAAAATAATTCTTAGATTGTACAGTGAGGTTTAAAGTACAAATTTAGCATTTTTTTAATGTAACTGTGATTCAGTTGTTCCGTTATTAAACACTGAAGAGTGACTTAGAATGTACCATTTTAACTTTAAAACAGGAAATAAAATATACTGTGAAAGGGGAGAAAACCCTTCTCATACTCATCCTCTACACAGTTTTCCACTTCTTGAAAACTTTACCAATCTCATATAAGCAGAAGTGTGGAAGGCCATAAACAAGTTGAAACATCTTTTTCATGTTTTTTAAGACTGTATACATCAATCCAGTATAATTTTGTCATTAAATGCTATGGCAGAAAGATGTTGATCCTGTTTAATATGCTGTTTAAATAGGGAAACACCACTTGTATTGCAAATATTTTTCACTGTTAGCATATTCATTTTCAGGTTGAATAGAAAACTACCATTGGATTGTGATGTATTGTAGATTTTTAAAAAAATTGCAGGAATTTAGTTTTGATGTGCTTTATTCCCAGCTAATATTAAACATTATTACTGCGTCAGTCACACCAGAATTAAATTACTTCATCTAACACATCTGTGCAATGTTTCAGTCTTGTGTCTAACACACATTTGGTCTCTGAGAAAGTACAAGATGTTGTACTGAATTATTTAAGTATATCGCATGTTATATTGCAATTATTAACTTTTTTTTGGAAGAATTTATGAAGCATGAAAATCCCTTCCATTGGACACAAATAGAATTTAAATTAGACTGTTAAGGACATAACTATTTATATATGATGTAAACTAGGTACCTCAAAAAAGTCATCAGAGGCAAAGAAAATAAAATAAGTATAGAATAAAACATTGGTTAAGAGTTACAATATATACATTTCAATAAACTTGGCGAACTTTGTTGTTTTATATTTAACAAACTTTTATATTCCTTGAAAAAATATAGAAAATGAATGTTTGAAGTTGCCTATCTTTCCATCAATTTCCACCACTCATGATTTCCTAACCTTATTCTTTTATACATTGAAACATACTAGCTCACTATACTGAAAACTACATAATGATCAGCCAAGGACCTCAGTTATGAGTAACAACAGCTATCTTCAGTTGTTCACATTCTTGCATGAATGTCTGTTTTATGCCTTCAAGAAAATGTTTTAAATTGTGTTTTACACTTGAACTGTGTAAAAAAGTTTAATAGATTTAATGTTTTATATTAAGATGAAGTTTCATTATTTTGCTGAAAAATTTAATAAAGCCCTCTACTTGAGAATTCATGAACTTGTGGGTCTAATGTGATAAATTACTTTTTGGCTGCTGAACATTTGTTTCACTGTTCTTTCTGATTAGTTTTATCAAATTGATTTTTGTTATCAGTTTTGTTGTGGACAAAGGTCCTAATTTAAAAAGTAGATGGTAGGGTTAAGGCTCTTCTGAACAGGTTGGACATGTTTGGTTAATCTGACACTGCTAATTGATCACATAATACTCTACAGAATGGAACATTACACAAATTATGTTGAAGAAGTTGAGTTAGTGAAGGTGTTTGTGTGTAAACATAAACAATAATATGACAAATTTCTCATTTTCCTTTCATTGTCTGAATAGTGATTATGCATATTTATTTTCTATTGATACCGCTTCTTTTTTTCTGAACATACAGTGTTCGTGAAGTGGACCAAGTTGTGTATTTGTTGTCGCAAATAAATTATGATGAAAAGGTAAGTTCATTTTTTAACATAGAATTTAACATTATAAATATGGATTGAAATTGTACAGGTATTTAAAACATACAATGCTGTACTAGCATTCTTTAGCACAGATAAATAATATATGATGATACTTGATGAATATTTATTAAAAGATAATTGTTTGTGTAGATTATGCAGACAACATAATTAGTTGTGTTAATAAATGTTTAAGTAAAAATATCAGTATTCCTTCTTGAATAACTTTGTCATTGTTTCTTTAATTGATGTAGTTTGTTCTGTATACAGTACGTTCCAGAGGCTTTCAATTGGGTTAATACCTATTGATTCTGGTCCTACCAATCATTAATAATACCAGCATAGTGAATGACAAGAAGGTACACATAATCCCTGAGAATGCTAAAATATTTGTTAGATGTAATGCAGCCATTTAGAGAGAGACCAAAGGACCCAGTCCATGCCATGAAAATATTAGGTCATCAAGAAATTAGTGTGGCATTTTGAAACACTTTCATCAACCACCCCCCAAAAAACATACATCACGTGTAATAGTTAAACGAACTGCCTAAACGTCCTGTTAGTGTAGCCTATATAATATGTACAGTTTAGTATACTCTAATCCCTTATAGTGATGGCACATGACGAAACACACATTTGGAATGTAATGTTGTTTGAATACAAGAAGGGATACAACACCTCTGTAGCCACAAAGAATATCAAAGAAGTTTATGGAAATGTTTTGAAGGTTCGTAAGTGTCAACATGTTGGAATTGATATTGGTGCTCTGAAGACGCTTGTTGAGTCTAACCCAAGGCAACATACTCTTGAAATGGCCCTGAAATTGCATGTATCTCATGAAACAATACGAAAACATCTAAGGAATATGGGAAAACACTCATAAAGAAGGTGTTTGGGTGCCTCATGAACTCTCTGATGATCATAATTTCCAATGTGTGAACGTTGCTTCATCTCTTCTGTCGCGTAATGCGTGTGAACCATTTTTGTACATAATTGTCACCGGTTATAATAAATGGATTCTCTATGTGAATATTAAATGCCAAAAACAATGCCTCAGTCCGAGACAAAAACCACTTCCGACTCCAAAACCTAGACTCCATCTACAAGAAAGTGATGCTTTGCATTTGGTGGGACATCAGAGGAGTAATTCATTTTGAACTCCTCAATCCACAGCGAACTGTCAATGCAGAGATCTATAGTCAGCAACTGGAACATTTAAATCAAGCTCTTCATCAGAAACGCTCTTCACTCGTCAATCAGAAAGGTGTTCTTCTCCACAACAATGCACGTCCACATGTGGCATGTTTGATGCAACACAAGATTATGGAGTTGGGTTGGAAAGTTCTCCCCCACCCACCATATTCTCCAGATATGGCACCATAAGTTTACCATCTTTTTTCGTTCGCTGCAACACCATCTTAATGGGAAAACACATGCAAATGTGGAAGGTGTTAAAGAGGACATCGACATGTTTTTTCTTCAAAGTCAAGTGATTTTCTTAATCAGGGCATTAACAACCTGATTGTAAGATGGAAAAGCATCATCGATAAGAATG